GTATCCAACCCAAGCTTAAAGTCTGACAACCAAGAAAGAGTCCCATAATATTATAAAAAGGTTTCAAAAGCAATTGCAGTTCAGTAGGCTGGAGAAATTTCAATTAGAAGCTCCACGTATTGTTACTGGCCTTCCTATTTACGATCCTCGTAATCCTCTATATTTCAAAACAGGATGGAAATACTTGCTTTTAAACGAGAAAAGAGAAAATTATGTTAAATGTTTAAAATAAAAAATGGTATCGCGCCAGAGTATTTATGAAATCTATTATATCTGAAGTTTCACAGACAACCCATTACCATTTACGTAATTGTAATAATACTGCCATACCCCAATGTAGAACAAACTTACTAAAAAACTCACTCTTTCCATCATAAAAATCATCATGGAACGTCTTTCTGAGATCAGAAACCGTGATACTGTAAATTCTTTCCAAAAAAAAAAAAAAAAAAAAAAAAAAAAAAGAAGGTAAACGTCCCCATAATATTTTTTCTCATGATGATAAAAAAAAAAAACAAATTCAATTTTATCTTGAATGAGACACGATGTAAGTCTCCTTAAGACAGATTTATTTAAGGTTACTAGGCTTTTAAATAACACTCAGTGTTCTTGTGAATATATCAATGAAAACAATGAACACTTCTTCCTGTACTGTAAAAATTATGCTGAAATTAGAACAGAATTATATTTCACACCATAAGAAACAACAAAGGAGCAATCGACCTTGACATAATTCTAGTTGGAGACCCAAACTTGGGTCAACAAAATAACATCAACATTGTTAAAGCCGTACAAAAATGTATTAAAAAATCGAAAAAAGATTTTTATGAATAACCAGCGTAACCATTCTGTATCTTTTACAACCCCTTTCTTCTTTCTTCTCTCCTTGAACTCCTGTTCCTTTCCTTTCTTATTTCTCTACACTTCTTTTTTGGTATTGTACATTTATTGGCTGTACATCACGCATGTTTGTTTTTGTTGGAGAAGATAATCTAAGTTAGTAAAACTTGTGTCCGATCCTGTTGATTATGTTACAATATAATATGCTTTAATCAAATCATACTTGAAGTAAATAAAAGAACAAAAGTTTCTTATAATAATTAAAAAAAAATGCAACTTCCTCCAAATTCGTGAATAGCTGTAGTTTTTTTATTCTAAAATGTTGATTAATTTTCATTTTTAGAATGTATGGCGTGTGCTTTTATTCGTGTACCCTGATTATATATTTGAGATTTGATAATTTACCCTATTTATGATTAAACTATAATGATGAACTTTGAAGAAATACCATGACTAAATACACATTACTTTGAGATTTCAGAGACATTTTTTCTGATAGAATTCAATAACTCAACCCCCAACTTAAACAGAACCTGATGATATGACTACCTTGTGTTTTTAGTGTTAATCTCACATCTAGCCTTTAAAAATGAAGGGGGAAAAGTAATTATTTTCAAGAAATCAACATATCCTAGAGTGTTCCGTAGTTGTGATTGTTTAGCTTAAGAATAGTGTTTTTCTATGTTTTAATTATTCTGAATAAACAAATGTTAATATTTAATGCAAGTTCGACTCAAGAGGGTTAATACCGTCAACCTTCGAAGATCTAAAATTGTTAGAGGGTTACCTCCCTATGAACACAAGCCGTTAACACTTGAAAATGGGTCAACACGATAACATGCGTGTACCAAAGGTCGTAGAGTTCGGAATGTTGTTTATCTAAACGGAGTTCCATTTCATCTACTAAATAAACTTGACGGTCAAGATTAAACTTTTACATGTAAATGCGAATATCAATTTAAATTATTCATCTTCAAAGATATATCATAAAATAATGTAGGTAAAGTGTGATAAAAGATTGTTTGATTATTTTGTATTTCAGATTATTAGACCCAAAATATTACAACAAAATAAAGAAAATAAATAATTTTATGTTTTGATGAGAAATTCAATTTTTCATACGATATCTATTGAAATCGTGGTTAAATCACTGCCTTCGTTTAAAATAGACCTCTATACAAGTGGTACAGGTGCATATTTTTACACAATTCGCTACCAGCTGTCAGATGGTAACTTTTGATTTACACAGTCTTTTCATATACATACACTGTACACAGTTCAAAATAAAACGTATTCTCGCGCCTCTAATTCAACTACCCCCCCCCCCCCCCAAGGTTTTATCAAATACATATTCAAAGATTGTAAATGAAGCCTTTTTCGGTGGTGAACTTACTGATTACGAAAATAATTCAGTGTACATGTTAAAGATTTAAAAAGAATGGTTTAACTTGAAATCAAAATTGAGAACATCATTAATATCATGCCTGGAGGTGTCGAATGGCCATCTGTACATCCAACAGCATGGTCACATTTGCTTTTAGTGCATGACAAGCATATATTACCACAGTGCAATCCAAATGTTGGGTATATGCAGGTATTGTTACAATGTAAACCCCAATATCCAAGAGGACAATCTAAAACGAAAATAAATTAATTAATTAAAAGTAACAGGATTAACCTAAAAATTTTCTCACTCTTCTTATTTATCTGTATTGTTTTCCTCTTTCAGTTTAGTAATACATGTATAGTATTAAGATAAACTTATTTGAGGGATGCAGAGTTACCAGAAATTGTTTTATTCAGGATACATGTCTGTGCTTTTGTACGTATGGATTTCATTAACACTCTTTTTAAATTGCTAGTAGATTTATGTACTCACCGATACAACTGTTGAATTCTTCACTCCATATCTTCCCTGCACAACAGCTACAAAGTAAAAGTAGAATTTTATTGAAATAAAAGTCTTATCATTTCTACTCCATGTAAATGAAGGCAGCATTCAGGAACAATAAGACGATACATGTATTGGACTTATCAATCACAATTTTAAGAGTCATGCAAGATCTCTTTAATCGAACTGACGTCGCTTCACTTACACGTTAAATACTTTGTAATCACTTATATTGAAAATATCTTCACTTACACATTAGCGAATACCATTTTCGAGGATTGCTAGGAAATGTTACTTTAACGAGGAGTGTCAGCCGAAAATAAAATATTAATGAACTTCCTGAATTCTTATATATATATATATATATATATATATATATATATATATATATATATATATATATATATATATATATATTAATTTTATTTATTTATTTTTTCTTTTTTTTTTTTGTGAAACCATAAATGCTTTATCCAACATCAGCTACATGTAGATAGATGCTTAATAGTAGAATATTTTATAACACTTAACGAAGTTGTATATACATTGCTATATGATTAACATTATCATCTTTTTATCCTATCAGTTAAAACAATTCAAGTTTTCTTTTACTAATAATTTATGAAATTTGTAATATTCTTAAGACATAAAAATAAATTCATTGTTTCATATTTTGAAAAGAAAGAAAGCATATACATATCTACTTAACTCCGGGTACATGTACAAAATATGTGATGGATTCTCACGTCCTTTCTACTGCACATCCAAAATATTTCACTGATTTTCTTATCAACTCACCTCCCCTTTTTCAACCCAGAGCAATCCATGCAGTGACATACTCCAAGCATGTTGATGTAAAATAACGATGATAAAATTCTCATTGTGATATATCAAAGAAATATTTTAAAAAGAATTATTGTTTTTTCCTTATTTTAGATAATATTATGGTATGTTTGATGAATTTACAAGGAAGTATCTGTTTTTAATGTCAAAGGTTTCCCGTACAATTACGGAAGTGTGAAGGTTTTCCAGCGGGGTAAGAAATAAACAAAAATATTTTCAGACGTATACAAGTAGATCATTAATTAGAAAAAAAGTACATAAAAGTGAAAAGGAAGTTGCATTAATTGTGCTATGCAAGCGAATTCCGAAAATAATAATGCCTAAATAATCTATCTAAAATGATCATGTCCTTATAAACTAAAACATTCTCGGAATACCAGAGGTCTTGAGTCTATACGTTGCCTTAGACTCATGGCCAATTTCGCATTCAATATAATTCAAGGGCTGACTGTAGCGACGTCTTTCGGGAAATTTTCTAATCTTGATTGTTTTTCTTATCTCTCAACCAATCACATTAAGCTATTCTATGATAAACAACTCGTAACACATGCACATGAGGTGTCATCTGATTCTTTTCTCTTTACGTTATCTAAACGTTAATGAAAGCTTCAATTTGATTGGTGCTATCAATGAAAGATGCAAGCTCAATAATATCGAATGATATTTGTAAGGGGTCCCAGACACATATTGATTCACATTGCGAGGACGATTAAAAATAAAGACATTGATTTTTTTCACCCAAAATTAATATCAGTTAAAGCTTTATAAAGACAAAAATCATGAGAATACTCTTGTATTTCATACATCAGCTTCCCCTGTCACTGGGCATCCCTCTCTTGTACGTAAAAAGCATAAAACATTGACAACATTTAAAATGCTTTACTCTGAAACAATATAATTTTTAACAAACCATAATTTGTACATCCTGTCATATAGTTACACCTGCTGATTTTACAGTTTCACATCCAATACACGGCAAACCGTAGCGCTGATATTCACTGGAATAATCTTGGCCAATTAAAATATCCCGGCTTGCGATATGTTCCAAAAAGAAATGATATATAAATCACAATTTCAAAGAATTTATTTTCTTTATTGATTTACCATACGTTTTGGAAGAACGCTTTTATTGGTCCCCTACCGGTGAAACCGGAGGGGACTATATGTTTCCTCTGAGTCTGTCCGTCCATCTGTCTGTCTGTCTGTCTAGCTGTCCGTCTGTCTGTATGTCCCTTTGTCTGTCTGTCAGTCTGTCCCACTTGGTTTTCCGCACTTTTTTTCTAAACGCTTGCAGATATTATGCTGATTTTTGGTATATGAGTGTATATTAATGAGCTACAGATCATGTTTGCATTTCTTTCCGCTTCAATGATTTTTGACGGAATAATAGGGACTGTAATCTTGTAAGCGAGAGCGCGCGAGATTTGAATACTTCCGGTGACAAACAAAACTGGTGATGTGTTTTGTATTCGCTTGCAACCACCGGAGTGGGGCTAACAGCTGCAAGTTTTATCGCTTTCCCACAGACGGAAAGAAACGATTGTTGTGGGGGAAACTATGCAGGTGAGAAAAATACAGTATAGTTTTGTTTATTACAGCATTAATCACGAGATGCGTGAGTGTTAAACATGGTCGAGATATTTCGGCCTGCTACAGTGTATAGGCAAAAAGCTCAGAAAACGTAGAGATATTGACCAAATTAGTAAGTACTTGTGACGATATGTCACGATGCTGCATTGTCAGATATTTATACATACTTGCTAAAAAGTTAAATCTCATCGTAATCAATATTGCAGAAGAATAATGAAGAGAATTCTGTAAAAACTTTGCAGTTTGCAGAAGTGGATAAATGTATTATAATCCTGCAGCGCTGATTTCTGCTGCCCTCTGTAGTTTTATATAATTTGCAGAAGAGTACATCATACAATCTAGGCTTGAATACTTTATCTATTGTACATGCAGCAGAAGCACATTTTTGTTTATCAGCTGTTTTTATAACCTTTTATATCTTATTATTACTACCAAGTACTGCTGCCCTTTGGTGATGTTATGCACAGGGTTATCTTGTATTTGCAAGTTAACATTTGAAAAAGTGGAAAAAAAATATTACTAGTCATTTGGGCTATGATTTGATAATTAATAACATGCCACTAAATTATCATATGTACATGTATTGCTTTTTAATTCTCCTTCACTCAGTCTTTGTATAAAATATTTATAGACGAGCTGATCGCCAACCAGGGGATCAGAATGATCGTATCTGCTCCTGCCATTTTAAGGATGGTGTGAAGGAGGGGGATCCTGCATATTTTGCATGGAATGAAGGAAAGGCCATGGATTTCTCTGATCCTGAATGTACCAAAAGGTGAAATTATTTTTCAAAATATGACATCTTTGTTTTGGATGGTGGGTGGGGTTTAATTGAGAATATTTTACTAAAAATTTTAAATAGGGTGTCAACAGAGTAGCTTACAAGTTACAACTGAATGAAAAATAATCCGAGTTTAATTATTTTACAAAGGAGGAAAAAAATCAGAAGTGAGGAGTCTCTATCATCTTCACAGATGGACCAGCTGCAGATTACACATGTGACAGAATGTCAAGATCAAGAGGAGGTAAAGCTCCTTTAAAACACCATTGATGACAAATGGTCAACATAAAAACATTTTCAATAATTTTTAATAATATAATAGTTTTCTCAACTGTAGATTGAATTACTCATGATTCACAGTATATTTTAAAATTATATTTTTTCAGTTGATATCAGATCACAACTACTCAGCATCATGCACATTTAACTGCACTCAAGAAATGCAGCGCCTCTCAACAGAAATAGAACATCTGGAAAAGGAATTACATGCGCTAAGATTAGAGTCTAGTAAAAGGAGGCCAATGTCAATTCACGATATTAAGGACAGTGAAGAGAAGGTACATGAATTAATTCCAATTATGGTTTCCTATTTCCTAACAATTTCAGTAAAACTTGTTGCGAAGTGCCATTGAGGGATGAACAACTTTGATTGATTGTAAATATATTTTGTTATTACCGTTGAGTTTATAATATACATAATTTAAAATGATAGGAAAGAAAAATCATTTCACTGTGAGGGTGAATAACATCAAAAGCATATTTTGCTGAAACCTTGTTTGACTGTATGATAACAGTTATCAGAACTCTTAATTTAGGTTCACAATTTTTAAGTTTGCTTGATAGTTGAATGTATTTTACCTGTAATTAAGATTGTGTGGTCATTCTACAGTAATCATTTTTTCCACTAGGGATAATTTCAATCTTTCTGTCTCATATTACCAGTTTTAAATGAATGCATAATGTGGATGGTAGTAAACCTGACTGAGACTGATATTGTTATTACTTGAAACTAATTTATCTACAATCTTTAAAGTTCTTAGATTTATTTTAATCAGTAAAATATATTTATTTTCATATGCTTTTATATACATCCTACAGTATGACATATTCGAAATCTTATTCAGATTGTTACAACGGTTTGAACTCGATTACTATAACTCCTTCAATGGAAATAGAGGACCAACTACTTATTGTACTGATGAAGTTAAAACTCAATCTTCGGGACATTGACTTGGCCCATAGATTCTGTGTCAGTCGACCAACAATTTCGAACATCTTCCATACCCTTGTTCATGCACTACACGAGATGCTGTCTGATGGCGTAGTCAATGAATGTTTTCCAAGTCAACTTAAATGCAAAGGTTTGTTTTAAAATTTATCATAATGACTTCCAAAAATTTAATACATTTAAAATTCTTGTATACTTGGAAGTTTTACTGTAACACATTTTTTTTTTACACAATTACAAATCATTGGATTAATTTTTTCCAACTTTTTTTCAGGGTCTATGCCAAAATCTTTTGAGGATTGCTCCTCTGCTAGAGCATCCATGGATGCAATTGAAACTATCCAGGACATCCCAACACATATGGACAGTCAGGCCATGGCCTACAGTACCTACAAAGTCGACATACTGTTAAAGCAGTGACTTGCGTGGCTGCAAACGGTGCACTTACATTTTGCTCTAAGCTGTATCCAGGTTCTACTTCTGATGTAGCTATTGTACGCCACAGCCAAAAGTTTAAAGCTGGAGACCTTATTTTATCCGACAAAGGTTTCACCATTCATGATCAGTTGCCCCAAGGTGTCTGTTTGAATATACCAGCTTTTTTATCGACACGAGGCCAGTTTACCAAACAAGAAGCAGCACTGTGTTACAAGATTGCTAAAGCACGCATTCATGTGGAAAGAGCCAACGAGAGGATAAAGAACTCTGAGATTCTCCGTCACATCCCATCTACTTACAGACCAATCTCAACAAAAATATTTCAACTCTGTTCTTGTCTTTTAAACTTGCAAGCTCCACTTTTGAAAGAAATTGCTTATAGAATTACTATTAATCTGCATTGGTGTTTGACAGTCTGTTACATTATACATCACTACAGTAAAAATGTTCATACCAAAGTGCCAGGGATAAACAAATTTTGATTTGTTATCAATGTCAATGATTATTTTTGTCAAGTTCATAGTATGTTTTAATACTACAGGGAATGAAAATCCCTTTGTTAGCATGAATTTATTACAAGGGTATTTGCTGTAACTATATTTTACTATACAATTTTGAAGAGGGTCTGCTTAAAATTTTAATTGTTGAGTTTCAAGTACATGTACCTTTAAAGCACAAATCAACAGCTTAGTATTATTTTCAACAATTTATCTAACGATGATAAAAAATGTTACATTTCCACATTGAGAATAACATCTTCAATTCATTAATAAAATGATGATAAATTTTATTATTTTTTTAATCTGTAATACATGATTAACTTAAGCACCATAGCTATTTAAAATATTCTTATAAGCCAGACGTTTTCTGATGAACTCTGATATATCACATCATACAAGAATAACTGGAATTTTCAACACATTTAACATGAATTACTCGTTTTGCATTGTGAGAAAATTCTAGAGATACAGAAACAAGTGTAAAAATACATTGAAACCAGAACTCAGTTTTCCATCAGTGCTGGAATGAAAATGTTAAAGTACAAATCTACTAGCTTTGAAACATTTGCAGTCCATTCAATGTCTTTTACTATTCTAACCACAATGCAGTCTACTCTTGTCCACACAATTAAGTTGCAGCATGTTTTATTACATATATGTAACTGACCTTGAATTTGATGATAGTATGGGTGACTGGTTTTCAGGCACAGGGAATCTTGTTTAATATCTAAAAATCAAAAACTCTTTTAATGTTGTGTTATGCCTATTCATATCCCCTCCCTTTTCCATCTCTTCATACTATGTTGAACAGTTGCACTTGTAAATTACAATGTAATACATGTATTCATTGTGATCATTTACTCATCTAGATTTTTAATTCTAAAGTAATGAACAAAACAGATTTTTAAATCCAACTTATAAATTATTATTTACCTATGAAGAAATCCTTCAAATTTTGTGCTGCATCTGCTACTGTTGAAGAAGATGCTGTATGGACACTTCACCTCTACAATATCAGGAATGGCATCTTTGGCTTCTGGAGTTTGATAAAATACACTCAGTCATTCTACGATAAATGGACCAATTCAGAGTAAAAAACATGAAAAATATAATTGTTTCAAATAGCAAAATCAACATCATAATTCTCTAAAGGACCTATCAATGAACTTGAAAACAAAGAATTGTCCACAAATCTGGTATCGTTAACTTCTTACAACAATTTCAAGATACCATTGATTTTAAGGTAATGTTACGGAAGTTAATGCTTGATCAAGCCTTATTATTTTTTAAATAAAGCTGAATTTGACTAATTTTTCGTTTCTAATGTTCAGTAAAGAATGCTAAAGTATGATTCATGAAGTCTCGCATGAATCCGAATTTAGATTAAATTTTCGGGAAAAATATCGTTACGGAAGTTAATCGTTACGGAAGTTAATTCCCAGTATAATAAAAGTTAAAATTCTCTTCAATAGTTAAAATCAAAGTTTGTTTTAGGATATTAAACGAAAGTATGAAGCATTTTGCTCCCCAAAATAATCAAAAATTTTATACCTTAAATGCAAAAACTTTCCTGAATTACCGTTACGGAAGTTAAATTTTTAAGAGAGACAACTGTTTTTGTCTTATTCATTTTGTTATGTCGAAAATGTAATCGTGTAAAATAGCTGACTCGCAACTAGAATCGATGATATAAGGTTCCGTGGTCACTTTCATATAAGTTTCAGTTCTTTTTGAAATTTGCATTCTATGCGTGAAATTTAAAACAAAATCGTTACGGAAGTTAATCGATTGTAAGCGAAATGCTTATAAATTCGCATGAAAGGAGATCCATGCATTTTTTTTTTGCGAGAAGTGGTTTGATTTCTATTTATATGGGATAAAAGACATTTTTTGACATTCATTGCACTCTATTCGGAACGATTTTACGGCTGAAAATTTCATCTTGAAATTTGTATATAAATGAAGCGACATTAAGATTTGCAGTGGAATACGTTTTTCAACATTACATTATGTTCATATCAAAACTTTAACTGCATATATATCGGTGAGTATTTACAAAACCATGTGTGTATTTTAAGTCTTAGAATTGAAATCGACCTTTAAATTTAAAATTAAGATATTACAACGATAAATTTGCAAGCGACATAAAAAAATCTTAATTGGTCATGTTTTTGTAGAATGACTGACTGCATGTTGGTGGTCGTACAACTAAGCCATCAGGTGAAGCTCCCAACACTCCGGATTCATGCAACCATATCCCTTTCAGAAAAAAATATAATGTAATATTACTGAATGCAAACCATAATACAATTGTTATGCACACAAAGTCTAAGTTGAGCTTTTATAATTCCTTCCACTTCAAATACAGTATATCGATATGCTTGTACAGAGTGGTACTGGGGTACTTTAAGTAGATCTCTATTCCCAGCAAATTTTCTGTAATATGTCGATCACTAAATGAATTGAATACTTTTTTTTTACAATAAGACTTCAGTAATTGATTGTCTACTTGTCACACGGATCATTTGTTTTGACACAAAGAATTTTAACATTCTGTGAGAGGTTGAAGGAATATCTTTTTTTTTTTGCTGTATACCTGATTGCTCTACAGCTGCATCAAAGTCTTTTTCATACTTTCTCAGAGCATCATCTTCATGAGTGATACCCCATACCACAGCTTTGATCGACTCCAGATTGTAAGCCGACATAAGCTGTTTCTTCAGTGACAATGTCATTCTGAAGAAGAAAATATGATTTTTTGGTTATTGATCAAATAATTTACCCTACATCTATATATCTAGTCATTATAGTCAAACCTCATTATCTCGAACTCAATGGGACCAAGAAAAAAGTTCGAGATATCCGAGGATTTGAGATATACAAGGATTTATTTGATTTAATAGAGAATAAAATATGTCTTTAATAAGTGGTTGGGACTTCAAATTACTTCGACATATCCATAATATTTAAGATATCGTGTTTGAGATAACAAAGTTGAACTGTACTTTGAAAGTCTATTTTGAAAAAAATTGAATCACACATGTCTTACCGTCTTTGCTTAGAACTGAGAACTGTACCAAAGTTGGAAGCTGTTATTCCGTATTTTCTTACAATCGACCACATCGGGTTGTTTCTTTGCCCAATTGTTGCAAATGCTGTTCTTTTAATGGCTTCCTCTGACAGGGATAATGCATGTCTTAACCATACCATAGGGGCATCAGAATGAACATACTCTGGTGATGTTAACAGGTCTTCAATGACAGGAACAGGTGGGCCTGGCTCACATGGCTCTGGTTCAAGAATCCATTTTAATGCTGAAAAATTACCAGACTCGTGTCATTCTCAAAAATAATATCCACATGCATATACCAGGTAATTATTATAAGAGATCAAACATTTAATTTTGGAGAACACTGTAATTTTTTTTTTATTTAAATGCATTACATTTCAAAATTACAACGCACTTGCCAATATTTGTTCAGAATTGTTCCTGTATATAATTTTGCATATGGCATCCTTAGTGTGGATGTGCCAAGGAAAAATTTGTTCAAATGTACATTTAACATTTACTAACTTATTAATCAGGGTTTCATACTGACATATTCTATTAAAATAATAGAAGAATGACCTGATGGTTTGCAAAAATATGAAAAAAAAATTTAAATGCAATTGAATGAAATTTATTCCTTTCAAAAAAATGAATACATAAAAATGCTATCATTTATTGCCTAGTAAGTTCAAAAATTGGACATATTATACAAAGCCAACAATATGCTCCTCATCTTTGTACATTTACCTGCTTTTCACACAGTGAAAATCAACTAACGGTCAGAATCAAAATAACAATATCATAATACTCTTAATGTTACAATCAAATCAAATTTAAAACAACAACAATAACATCAAAATCATAATTTCATTCTTATATTTTACCAATGAACCTTCCAAGCTTTGCTAATTCTTGGTGCAAAAAACACCGGTCACTTTCATCGAAGGGGCGGCTTAAAGCACTTCAAATGTGAAGCAAATGTTTTATGATTGATATATATTTTTAATGATTGATATGTTTTTTTAAAAAAAATTATATGTAATGAATAATTGCAAGTATATGAATAACTATATTTAAAAGAAAATACAGATTGCCTCACTGACAATAAAATGTTTAAAATATAAATACTTACCAGTAATCTTGGCGTGCAGGGGGAAACAATTCTTCCATTGTTTTTTTGCTTTTTTAATTGAAGTCTGGGTTCTTCAACCATCCACACATTATGTCAGTCTTGCTCACACATATGTATCTGTGAATTTATGTCTCAAGGTTTACCTAAGTATCACTTCAGCCTTCTGGCTCATGATTGAAATACATGTAAATAATCTTGAATCATCTGGTCATTAGACATCGGGAGGGGTGTCCGGAGGGAAACCAACACTGTCTTATTTCTAAAAGCTTTACAGATTACAATATATTTTCAGTATTGTCTAATTGTCAGAGATGTTAACGTAAACGTACACAATAACCTTGGTCTTACCGTGACTTTATATGATGTGTTCCTCATCGAAGCTTGTACAACAGCATGGATCATTTTCGTCTCTTGGTCAAATAAAAATTTTAGAACATGGTTACTAATAACGGCGTTCTCCGACTTTCTCATCAACTTCGGTTCCTCGGCTGTATAATTCGCCCAATATTGTATCGATATAGCCATATTTGTTTCTCACAGGAAATACATCACCGGAAGTGATGCTAAACGAGACTTACAGCCCCTATGACCTTTAAAATTTTTCAGGGTTTTCCGCAAGTTCTTTCTAAACGCTTGCAGATATTGAGCGGATTTTTGGTATGTGACTTTACCTTGATGAGTTATAGATAAAGTTTGCATTTCGTTTCGCTTCATTGATTTTTGCAGAATTATGGCATTTTCAATTTTCAACGGAAACCAGATGCAGATTACACTTGCCGGTAGGGGACTAGTATTGCTAATGCAATGCTCTCAGAATGCTTGTTTACTTTGGTTTTCTATTTTATATACTTTATATCGTATATAAGATCTTAACTCTATCGTTCTTGTTTTGATGTAATTAAGCCTTTAAGGCATTATTATAATGTTATATTTATTAATATAAGAAAGACGAAGTAAAATGAAAGACAAACAATATACATTTTAGAAATATTTAGCTAGGAGGTGTCATTGAAAAAATAAATTTTCAAAAAAATATCAATAAAAAACAATTAAAATGAGCTGCGCGCAACTTGCATGGAATTAATTGACATATAAGAAATCAGCAGAAAACTTTGGTAAAATGAGAAAATCTATAAAACTGGATATTTATACCATGTTTTGAAATTATTGAGGCTCCTTTCACAGAACATTATATACAGCTGTGATAAAATCTTTACTTTGATTTACCATAGTGTTAACTTTTCCACTTTGATTTACTATAATACTGATTACTTTAAAAACTTTTATTTACTATAGTGAGCACTATGACACTTAAGTTTGTTTGTTTGTTTATTGTTTAACGTCCGTCTCGAGAATTTTTCACTCATATGGAGATGCCACCACTTGTCGGTGGAGGGCTACAAATTTTGACCTATACTCGGCACTCAGAGCCATTGAGCAGTGAGGGATCTTTTTCGTGCCAGCACCTACTGCGACGCGGAACCTCGGTTTATACGGTCTCATCCGAAGGACCGATCTCCAAGTCCCATAGTGGGATTTGAACCCGCGACGTAAGGATCAACTCCTTACTCCGCGACTCTAGAGCGAACGCTCTAACCACTGCGCCACGTGGGCGACATGAAACTTTAGTGATAACTTTGAAAACTTTGATTTACTACAGTGATAACTTTGAAACATTGATTTTATAAGTTAACTGTAATAAACTATAGTTAACTATTGTTTACTATAGCGTTTTTGTTTAGGTTTAAGCAATTCTATTACATTTTCAGCAATGAAATACTGTACTTTATCTATTGAATAAAAGTGATATTCTGTCACAGGGTGAAAGAACATCAGAAGTGCTGCGACACTCTCCATTTTCCTACAAGAATGTTGTAAAAAATACTCCCTGGCCAGTTGTACGATGAGTAAATGAATCTTGTTCATGATCAAAGACTAAAACCGTCAAAGTTTCGCAAAATAATGTTTACAATACATGAACTCTGACGTTGCAACCCCTCAATTATGATGTCACGGCCTATGACACTGTGTAAAGCAAAGACAGGCTAAGAGAAGATCAAAGAAAATGTAATAAACAGAAATACAATGTTTTGTATTTGGATATGGAGTGTGAAGTACTCGTGAAAATAACCTGTTCAACTCGTGAAAATATAAAAAAAAATCCTGTTCAACTCGTGAAATAAAATTCCATGTCCAACTACAAAAAATTTAATATCGTATCCTTTTCAAAACTTTGTTTACTGTTTTGCTATTTCCATTGGATGACCATTCAGTAAGTGTATTTATTTTTTATTTATAGTTTGGACAAACATTGTAATATCGTATCCTTTTCAAAATTTTGTTTACTGTTTTGCCATTTTCATTGGTTGACCATTCAGTAAGTGTTTTTTTATTTTTTATTTATCGTTTGGACAAACATTGTATTACGTACTAAGTGATTCCATTAGGATTTGTTCACTTATACAATTCTGATTATAATTCAATATTTATTTGCTATGTTAAAATCATGTCATTATTGTACAATGATCAATAAATTGAAATTGCAAGATTCCTTCGTTACCTGCATATTTGCTAATCGTTTCATTCCACAGTTCCAATGCAACATCCAAATCATTGAATTAAAATAAGACAATCTGCATCTACCAAAGCTTACTCCGGGAATGTTTTAACATTTTCACACGTTTGATAATCATCAAATGATTGTTTAATATTAAAGCTAAATGAATTCGCCTTATATTTAGCATTAATATTAAATCTTTCTTTGAAATTTAAAAAAAAAAAACAAAACAAAACAAAAAAAACGTAAATTCAGCAGTGTAACCTTTAAGTTGTTGGAAGCTAAAAATACGACATAGATTGAAACACAAGGGAGAAAATGTTGGTGATTACTGATCGTTCAAACTCTGAGTGAAAAGTTTAAAAAGGGAGTATGTCAGCACCTGTTTCTCAAGAAATATATATATATTTTTCAAAATGCTATATATCTGACCCAGACGTCTAAAAATTCAAATAATTTGACCAACATGAAAACAGATATGATCTCCAATATTAATCAATCCCACGTGATGCTGCAAAAATCTGCACTATTACACGAAGCAAATATACTGATCTGTACATGGACTTTTTTTGAGCTTAATTCCAATTATGTTTGACGAAAATAAATAAGGGAAAACATGCAAGTATTCTGATATTGTTGTGTGATATTGTTAATAAAATCAATTTTGTTACAATCTAATCCCTCTCTTCCTTTTCCGTTTTCATTTAAAATAAAAAAAAATAATTAAAAAATCCACATGAAGAAAAAGAAGACATTTCCTAATTCAGTTTATTTAGCCACATGCATGTCCTATTTTTGTAACTTAAATTTTAAACTTTGTAGACACTCAGTTGCCAGTTGCAAAAGGGTATATACTACAATGAATATAAAATTTGCATTTTGAATGAACTGGATTTAGGTCAGAGCAAACTCCTCCACGAGGAAAATTAAAATGTACAACAATACTCTTTATTCATAGAAAATTAATACTTTAGATCGATCTCCTAAACGGAAAATTTTGAAAGTCTGAATGTTCCAAAGGATAAGAAAAATCCCTATCCCAAAATTTATGTTAGATAGATAACGGGACATCCCCTAAAACACTAGAATACAATTTTGTAAAACTATGTTGTATCATGATAAAATAATGATCTTGATTTTTTGGGATTTGAACAAAAATTTATATTTTTTACTGTTCAATTCCGAAAAACATCCTTATAATTGTTTAAAAAGTCGATTGATTAAAAAGAATATTTTTAAGGTCAAAAAGAAGTAGAAGCCAAGCTGGTATCTATTACTTCATCAAAGATTAGGAATCTATAGATGAAGGTACAATTTTCATCACAGTTGCAATATGGATGGCGAAAAACATGACAAAAAATGCATCAACAAAATTTCCGAAAAACGTAGGATTATCACATGGTACGCTGTATGTGAATGACAAGTTTTGAAAGGGAAGATAATAATGGTAGGTATACGATAGATTTCAAAAGAAAAAAAATTACATTATTTTAACTGTTTTTAAAGCATATTTCAGAGAAAAAAATTGTGGGATTTCCATGTACACTATGCTTACAGAAAATGTAATGGGATATTTAAAGTAAAATTAAAGTGTGAAGTATCGTGCATAATACTTTAAAATATTTTTATTTGTAAAAAACAAGTATCTATAACTTACAATAACCTTTATATAAGTCCGTCTCAATAAAAGCATATGCCAATTTAAGAAAAAAAACACACACACACACACATCCTCCCCCCCCCCCCCCCACACACACACACACACGGGAATGATGCTTTGTTTTGTATTCTGACATAGTTAAGTGTGATTTAATATATACATGTTGTAACAGCGAAATTGAAAGGTGACTAATATTTCTCTCCATCAGTTCGTTTTAAAGTAATCATTTATGACATTTCCGAAATTGCTCATTTAAAAGTGTTATATCAGGAATTTAACACTAAAACTCATGGTAAAAAGTGCATGATTTATGGTAAGCATACTTTTTAGATCATAACTAATTATAAATTAATATATATCCTACTTTACTGTTGGTAAGATTGTTCACCATGATAAATCCTCCATTCAAATCTCACTGAAGTGCCCCTTTCCTAAAGCTCACATTTCTGATTTTGTATTGTGGGTAAGAGCTTAAACAATATTCTTGTATTTCACATAATTTTCTTTCTTTTGCATAAACTCGTTTCATGTCACTGTATTTCAAAACTTTATTGCAAAATACAACTTCGCATTGAGTAATGCAATAAATAAAACACAAGAATATAATGTAAATAAATGTTTGTGCTTTAAATGAAATATTCACCTATAGAATGAGATCAATAAATATAGTGTAAGCTACCCAAGGGTGGCTAATATTTCTGATCCTCAGCATGTACAAAGTTCATTGCTTCATCATCTGAATTATTTATTCATTTACCAGGATATATCAATAATTTAATTTGTTGATATATATGAAATAGCCCAGGCTCAACTCTCTGTAGATACTTTGTTGAATAATACTCAAGAGGAATGATCAGTCAGTATTTCATCTTTTTTAAGATCATCATTTTTTATACGTAAAGCATCTCATTATCATATTATAATAGTGGTACATGTACCACGCAAATGATAGAGTTTCTGTATATGTCAATATTAGAAAACATCATTGTTTTTTTTTCTTTTTTTTTAGAAACACAAGTTTAGGTCGTCCAGTGTGGTAGGATATTTCTAACTAGGCTAATTGCATGTTATTTACATTATAAGTATCTCGTCGTCTTTGATTTATTTCCGTAGCTTTTCAAATGTTGCCGCCGTATACAACTAGCTGAGATCTGTCTTAACGTACTAAGCGTTTGCTGATATAACCTTCTATCTCCTGTCACATAACTCAAATTATTCAATGAAAATATGCCGTACGATCTATTAACCAATCAAAAGCTTGTATGGGAAGCTGAGTTCCCACACAGAACTATACTTTTGCCACACAAG